CACAAAAGAAAACAAAAAAAACAACAACAAGCCTTCAAGAATGGAAAAACCATTCATCACTCAAGGCTCCAAGAGATGACATGAACAGGAGGTTTGAATTTAACCAAAAATTCCGAATACATCTGGCCACCAAAAAGGAATGGGAAAGAAAGGGAAATAACTCCCTCAAAAATGGCACCATCCTTTGGTACACAGATGGATTAGAACACAAGAAGGTACGGGGGCAGGAGTATTTGGACCCGGAACCAAATACTCAGAACCCATGGGAAAACACACCAGTATCTTCCAAGCTGAGATTCACGCAATTGAAAGATGTATCCAATTCAATCTAAATAGAGGATACAAAAACAAGAATATAGCTATCATGTCAGATAGCCAAGCAGCCATCAAAGCACTAAGCTCAAATACCATTAGTTCAAGGATGGTGCTGAACTGCAAAACCAAACTAAACATATTAGGTTCGCAGAATAAAGTCAGCCTCTGCTGGGTCCCAGGACACAAGGGAGTAGAAGGCAACGAGAAAGCGGACACCCTTGCAAGGAAAGGGGCTGCCACACCACTGATAGGACCCGAATGCCCTTTTGTGGCATAGGAATCCACACTATTAACGAATATCTCAGACAGAAGGACAAAAATAAAATTAGAGAACTTTGGAATTCACTTATTGGACATAGACAATCCAAGAATCTTCTAACCAATTTTGGCAAGAAAGAAATCACAGAATGTGTCAAAGGAAGCAGGAATAGACTGCGAATCCTAACAGGATTCCTGACAGAACACTGTAGATTAAATGGACATCTAAAGAAAATTGGAATAATCCAAGATGGCACATGTAGATTCTGCAAGGAAGCAGAAGAAACACCAACACACTTACTAACAAACTGCGGAGCTACATTAGCCCGCAGGAGGAAGTGTTTTGGGATGTACAATGTGACCATAGAAGAGCTTCAACCACTGAAACCGGGCCTATTAATCAAGTTTCTTGATGAAATAGGACTCACCGATGTGCTTTAGGCAGAACACGGGGGATACAATAGCTCTTAAAGGGCGCAGTATACCCTGAAATTACATCTATATCTACATCTACAAGCCTTCAAGAACTGTTGTAGCTTTATTATATTCACGTTCTACCAATCGCCACGCCCAGAATTGCGGAAAAATTGCAAAAAGCATGCTAAGAAAAGAAGGGGGCATTCACGATCTTACTGGACATTTCTCTATTAGATTTTACACGCGTTAACATCTTACAAACATCGTGAATACTCCTAGTATGGCATATTACAAATTTTCCTATCGTCCTCATATGCTCTGCAGGCTGTGAGATGTTTCACAGTATTGGGCACGTTACACTCAACACAAGTAGGGGACCTTCCTTAGCCATAAGATGGCCATTTGTGAACTTCGTGTGTCCTATTCTTAAACGAATATAGTGTTTATATCATGTTACATCCTGCCTTAATACTTTATTAAACTATAATGGCATTTCATTCATTGTAATTACAACAGAATTAAAAGAAAGGTAAGGCTTTTTTCCCTTAATAATTTATGGCTTAGATTATCCCTCACACCACTTGCCCATGGCACAAACCAAAAGGTGTCATGTAAAATACTCAACAAAAAGCCGATTTGTGAGAAAAAATACAAACTATACTTACTCTATTTTTATTGTAGGAAAAGAAGGTTGTTACTAGTTTAATCATTTTTTTTCGTTCGTATGCTGTTGGTATTCTAGCTTTATCAGCTTGATAGGGCGTATTGGATTATGAAAATAGTTACCATTACATTCCTCCTGCAAGGGCATGAATTGAAGCCTCTTGACTATCCCTGACAATGAGCCTTTGCAAATTAAAACATCCCACCGTAATCGTTTTAAAGCCGTCGTTTAATGCGTGTTAGATAACACAGTAATTACCTTTGAGGGGATGGAGTTGTTTTTTGTGTCCATCATCCTCCCAGGTTGTATGAGGCACGATTGGATTTTTACAGCTTTAACAGCTCGCCTTTCTAACTACTCCCATAAAACCATCATGAATTGACAAAAAGGCCTTGTTACCAAAGGCCATAAAACTGATCACGTCTCCGTTTAATGAATATTGAATACCAACGGCTCATAAACGCCCAGCTTTGAGTGTTGAAGACAGCATTCATTGTTCACCTGGGTATGAAAGGTCGTCAGGTCGATTAATTTTCTAAGGACGATTTTATCCATATTTTATTTCTGATATTTTTCAGTGATGTTGCGTAAGCCTTTAAGTTTGCTGTTGGCTGATGAATCAAAATTTTTAAGGCAATTCTTGCCTGGCACGTAAAGAAAGATTCCTTTACAGATGGGTGTTCCACTAATCGTCTTTCCCTTAACATAAGTAAATGCAAATTTAATCGTATCTCTAATTACATCCTTTCGCCCTTCAGTTCGCCATCAACAATATCAACGTTGAACGTATACAATTATTAAAAAAGCGAACCGTAACCTCGGATTAAGAACATGACTGATAATTGATTAATCCGTTCGCTTTAAAGGTTTTATTTTAATCCTTAGTTCGTTTAATCGTTAGTTCGAATTGCGAAGGTCCGCACACTAAGTAGAAACTGTTTTCGGCCGCATTGGTCGCGCTGCAGTTTAGCGTTGATTTTGCATTTCCAGGAGTCCCCACGTCACTATCGTTGGCTCCGTCTTTTCAAATATGGCGGCTGAGGGCAGAACAATTCTTTTAGGAAGATCCTCATAATCAACCTCACCCAAAACCTGCTGTTCACGGAATAACGTTCATATTACTTGTCAATGTCAATTTTCTAAATAACTAACGATCCATACTTCAAACAAACAGCAATAATATGGTCGTCTATGGTCTATAGTCCAAGGAAAAAGTTTTTTCAACAAAGGTTAGGGAGTCAAATTCCCTCAAACTTGGTTATAAGCACGTTCACAAATACTAGACTATAAATTTAAATTTATACCTCAATGTTGCTAGTCCTTGTATATGAAAATATTTAAGTGCAATAATTTTTATTCGATAACTATCTTTATAGTTTTTTTATATTTAAAAAAAAACATTTATTATAAAGGCATCAACCGACATAAGGTATAACTTTAAGTTTTTAAAGTAAGCTTTACGCCTTAAAAGTCTGGCGTGATGTCACTCTTATGGATACATTTTTAATTTAAATTTTTGAAAATAGATTAGTTTTCTTTAGAAATTTTATCAGTCTGTTAATTGTTGTAATGTTATCTCCTAGAATTTCTGAGAGGCAGTAGGGGTTTTCACGAACTTTGTGTTAACCCTGTTAGGTCCTGTTAAATCGAGAAAAATGATGAAGCAGACTTGTAAGAATCGGATAGTTAACATTGCTCGATCTAACAGGCCAGAGCCAATGTTAGGTGTTAGTGTAAGGTATTGGTTGAGATAAAAAAGTCAGCGTCACGAACGGGATTCGAACCCACGACCTTCGGCTAAACGCTAAACTGCAGCGTTGATTTTGTATTTCCAGGAGTCCCCACGTCACTATCGTTGGCTTCGTCTTTTCAAATATGGCGGCTGAGGGCAGCCGAATGTACCTGAACTCAACGATTTCCGACCGCCCTGGCGCACACTAGGCACGGGCGTCTGGTAACTTTCTCCGGCTCCGCGACGCGCCGCCCTACCGGCCTAGTGTGCGGGGTTAGATTCATTTCAATGTATTCTTCTTGGGGTGTCGGTTCCGCGCCACCGACCTAGTGTTCGACCAGCTTAATAAAGGCGACACCAGATGCCCGAAAAGATTCAGAACCAGCACTTCAGTTTATTTCCTCTAGTTCTGTTTATGAATCGGATAATGTCCATTCTCCCTCTGCACAAATTTAAAGTTGGACTCACTCGAAAATTAGCTTCCTATTGGTTCACCTGTTGGATGGTGGCAACAACTCCATCGAAGCACCGGATATCCTCTCCATGTTAAGGATAAGGGTCCCTCAACTCTCCCAGAGGAATGGCCCACTTTTCCACATGGATTTTCACCTACGGGCTTGACAATGCGGGGCCCAATCGCCATTTGAATAAACACTGACGTTTTCCAAGAGGTAAATCTGTGTTGTGCTCCTATATACCTTATTTTAACTTTTTCCTTTGTATTTATAAATATTTATGTTTTTGGCTGCTCTGGCTAGTCGCCTGAGTACCGTTTTAGCTGTAACGTTAAAAAAGATGGAAAATTGCAATTATAATTATTCAGAAATCGTGAGATGCGGTCTGGTGTGATGTAGGTTTCAGAAAAACATTTTCTTTATCGTGCCAACGTTTCGAACTTTATTGAGATCATCTTCAGGGCCTGGGATTTACAAACATTGTTTACATTTAACAAATACATGTGGTGTGTTTCCACTTCCATTTTTTTTATAACCAATCATATGATTAATTGTATAATAATTAGTCTAGTTTACTATATTTGGGTCTTTCTTGAGAACTGCAGGTTAAGCACTCTGCGAACTTTTGAAATATTTCACTTGTTTTGCTAGAAAGTTAAAGGTTTAATGAATTAAAGAGACATTTGTTTAAAATAATAATTTATTATATTTTATCAACACTGTTGTAATTAATACATCAATTTGGAGAGTACAAAAATGAGCAAAAATATTTTCTGAGGTGATTAATTTGATATAAAATTATCAGGTATTGTTTTCTGAATAAACAACAAGGTTTATCTACATTGTCGTGATTTGTTTTTCTTTGTCTATATAACTTGTATATATAAAAAATGTTTTCTCTATCGATGGCTATGTACATTCAACATTTCAATACATTTCTTAACAATTATGTACATTTGTATATACAGACGGTTTTTCAGAAATCGGCTCGGTCCGGCGCATGAGGTAAAACGGATACAAAACGTGTTAGTCTTTTTTTTCGTTTTTAGTACAGAGGTCCGCAAGCCTTTTCAAAAAAAATAAAACGAGATTAGTACAAAACCTAGTTGGCGATGGGCGGAGGCTATGTGAGATCGAGATATTTGACCGCGCCTATCTCATCGCATCCCCCCCGACTCCTCTTTATGTACAATCAGTCAGGGATTGGGGGGAATATTTACAAAATTCAACTAAAACTAGCTGTACAATTGACAATATTACAATAAAAATCCATTAAGTGTGAAGAGGGTAACGCCTTAGGCACTTGAGTGTTGTACATTTTGTCGTAAATTCGAACAATTAGAAATTATAGATAGTTACAATGAATAAAATCATAGACAAATTTAGATTTAACCAGAAATCTTGATCTGTTGTATAAGTCAACAAGGATTATCTACAAATTAAAGTAAACGTACGGTCGGCCAATCGGGTTGGTACAAATTTTGGCTTCCCTTTTGTTTGTTTAAAAGGGCTTCAATTGTTATAACAACTCGTCATTTATTTTGTTTGACCGTCAGGCTATCTATTAAAAACTTAGACGCGATTCGCCGGCCGACAAAGGTTACCCTAAAAGTAAAAATGATTTGGGAAAACGGTGAAAAGTGTTTCCCAAGCACCACGTTTATCATACATATGCCTCGCCGCGCCGGCCTCTTATCCTGTAGAGGAACTCTTTCCAGGAGGTAAGCGTCTTTCCCGACCATATCCAGAAGGAAGAGGTGATGCCTACCACCAACGCCATTAGGTACTTGATCATGAAAATCTCGAAGTCCGGCTTCCTGCCGGCTCCTTTCGCCCGCTCGCCGACGGGACACGGGATGGAGAACGGCGTGTGCTTGCCCGGCATCGAGCAATTCTCCATGTTCCACGTGAGCATCCAGTGATCCATGTAGGCCTGTTCGTAAAAGAGGCAGGCGAGGACGACCAAAGCGGGCACCGTGTACATAACGGAAAAGACACCGATGCGGATCATAAGCTTCTCGAGTTTGTCAGTCTTGGTACCGTCGTGCTTCATAACGGTGCGGATTCTGAAGAGGGACACGAACCCCGCCAGGAGGAAGATGGTGCCGAGGACTAGGTAAATGAACAGCGGAGCAAGGACGAACTTTCGCAGTGTTTCGACGTTCCAAAGTCCGACGTAGCAAACTCCAGTCAGCACATCGCCTAAAACAAAGAAATAAAAAAAAGTTACAATCTGACACAATACAAAGAACGATAAATAAAATAAAGCACAAACTTAATAAGAATTATTGCCCATTTGAATATTATGTACTGGAAGGCGTACCAACGACTTGGTTTAAATATGAAAAAACTCTATACCCCTCTAGCATTGGTAACTTAATATATATTACGAAATATAAAATAATCATATTTAATTACTCTTTAAAGTAAACAGAACTTCGTTGTCCTGGTAAACATTATATAAAATTTTGTGAATGTAGTTAAATATTTAATCTGTTTTCAATCAATTAAACTCTATCAAAATAATTATTCAGAAATCGTGAGATGCGGTCTGGTGTGATGTAGGTTTCAGAAAAACATTTTCTTTTTCGTGCCAACGTTTCGATCTTTATTGAGATCATCTTCAGGGCCTTCAATGCCTTATTTTGCATTGTACAAATTCACTTATTTCCACAACCTACATGTATCTGTTAAATGTAAACAATGTTTGTAAATCCCTGGCCCTGAAGATGATCTCAATAAAGATCGAAACGTTGGCACGATGAAGAAAATGTTTTTCTGAAACCTACATCACACCAGACCGCATCTCACGATTTCTGAATAATTATCGATTAACGGTCACTAATCACCACACATTTCTATCAAAATAAATTCAAAATAACATTCTAAACGATATGTCAACAATATCAAGAATGAAATAAAAACAGAAATCTCATATTTGATGGTAAAAATTGCGACAAAATATGACGAATTAAAGCCAGATAAATAAACAGAAATTTATTGCTTGGCGGTAAAAAAAAGCTTGCAGTATTATGACCTATTGAATAAAAGCAAAGGACGAAAGTCGGAATTCTATAGTTGAGTGGTTAAAAAATGTGTCAAACCAGAGAAAAACATCAGAATATTTTAATTTGGTGGTAAAAAAAATAACAAAAAATATTATGAATTGTATAAAACCAGTTGAAAAGTAAGAAATGTATTTTTTGATGGTGAAAAACTTTCAGAAATACCAATAATTTATTTAAATCGGAGGAAATAAGTCGGAAATCTTTAGTTGAGTGGTTAAAAAACGAGTAAAAATGTGAAGAATTAATTGAAACCAAAGAAAAAATATCTTGTTTGATGGTGAAAAATTGCGACAATCATGATACAACCAGATAAAACGTCCAGAACTCTTTGTTTGATGGTAAAAAAGTAGGAAATCTAAGGTTGAGTGGTTAAAAAACTTGTCAAAAGATGAAGAATTAATTGAAACCAGAGGGGGAAAAACAGAAAATTATAATATTTTTGGTAGTAAAGTTGGTAGTAGTTTGGTGGTAAAAAATTGTGACAAAATGGTATGAAGTAAATAAAACCAGGAAAAAAGACAAATATATTAATTTATGGTAAAATAAGCTTGCAGCAATCCTAACAATTAATTAAAATCCGACGAAAAAGGGAAGAAATTAATAATTGGGTGATTAACAAACGTGACCAAATACCCAGAATTAAATCAAATCGGAGAAAAAAGTCAGAACTCTCTTGTTCGATGGTAAAAAAAAGCCACAAAATGACATGATACAACCAAATAAACCATGAGAACTTTTTGCTTGGTTGTAGAAAAGCTTGCAGAAATATCAGTAATTAATTAAAATAGGAGGAAATCATTCGGAAATCTATAGTTACAAAACGTGTCAAAATTAATTGAAACCAGAGAAGAAAATTTAAAAAATTATAATTTGTTAAAAATTGCGACAAAATACCGTGAATTAATTAAAATCAGATAAAAAGTCAGAAATATAGCTATACAGCTTGATGGTAAAATAAGCTTGCAGCGATACTGAAAATTAATTAAAATATTTAAAATAATAATAATTTATAAATGTAATTTAATTGCAAATTAAATCAGAGAAAAAGTCAGAAATCTCTTGTTTGATGGTAAAAATTCCAATGACATGAAATAAATAAAGGTAGAGAAAAATGATATATATTGCTTGATGGTAAAAATTCATTCCAAAACATCAAGATTTAAATAAAATCAGAGGAAAAGATAGAAATCTATTCTAGGGTGGTTAAAAATATATGTCAGTGTAGAATTAAAGAAGAAGAATTAAACAAAAACCACAGAAAAATGTCAGAAATACGTCGTCTAAAGGTCTAAAAGCATGTCAAAACCTAAAAGCATCTTTAATAAATATCATTAGATTTCATTATTGGTACAAACAAAATCGATCACTTGAGTAAAGCATGTACTAAAGCAGAAAAAGTAATATGTAGGTATAACAAGAAAAGATAACTGAACAAATAAAAATTCAATTTTACCAAGGCATTAGTCAATTTTAGGGCAAAGAAACAGACACAATGAAATAACAGAGGATTAATTAACATTTTTAAAAGATCAGGACTTTTTTACAACCAATTTAAAACAAGCAATTTATATAGAAAGGTATAAAATCAAATTTATTCTTCAATATAATACAGTAGAAATAAGCCGTAGCAAAGTATATTTGATAGAAAATTAAAAAAACAAAAACATTTTTTTATGATATTCACACATCAACTTTATATACATTTTGAAAAATTGTTGTGAGCAGTGTTCAGAAGATGTTGAAACCCACCAGACCGTGGATTGTCTGTTTCCTGTTACGCAATGTAATTTGTCTACGATAGTGAATGAAGACTAGACTTTTACGAATTTACCAGAGAAAATTGTGGTTCAGTTAACATTGGCGTGTTATTTGTTTAAAAAACAATTGCGAAAATATTCAATACTTGATTTGTATAGGGATTCCTTGATTCATTAGACGCCCTGATCGAAGATTTTCCATTACGGGTACAATAAACCTACCCTGATAGATTTTATAATCAGGTCTGATAGGGTAAAACATCCCAAGGTTTATTTCAATTGATACCTAAAAATGAATAATCGTCGTCCGTCGGTAGAAATTAGCCCGGCCACTCCCATGCTTGGCGTTGAAACTTCCCATTGTGTAGGCTGCCGTTTGCACGTAGGCGTAAACCAACAGGCGAGCATATGGACAATCCCCCGGCGGACACGATCGGCGTTTTTGAATAAACTTTAAACGACTCAGCCCATGAATACTGATGATATTTTGCATAGAAACACGCTCGCTCTCCTTCGAAAAGGACCATTAATTCAACAGATATCCGTTTAATGGACCCAAGGCGTGAATTCGTTTATTCCTGCCAGGCCAGATTTTCAATCAATATTAAACACAGGCCGACACTCACACCGTTATGTCTAAGGTTGGACAATCTTCAAATATATCTCAGAAGTTTTAGAATATCCAGGGCCATCATGAACTCCAAACAACATTGGAAACCGTAAAAAGTTATAACAAATTTGTTTTATTAACTCCTCTATAGGAAAATAATATGTGATGTTATTTTGAGCAGACGTTATAGTCATAAATGAACACAATTATAATAGATTGTCTCAAATCATCCTGGTCAGCCTACCCTATGACGGTCTATATGTCGCGTTTCGGCATTTCGCAATTTTAGGAGTTTAATGGTTTCAAATCCAATTTTGCTCATAAACTTAGAAATATCAAATTTACCATATAAATCAACAAAATACGTATGTTTTTCTACTTCGTATTTTATTCGGGACATCTTCATGGCATAAAGTGTGGTGCTATTCTTGTGGTTTGTGAAATCGTTGTGAAAACGAAAGCACAACAATTTACACAAACCCAGTATGACACCCCAAGAACAGCACTACACTTTATGACTGAAGATGACCCGAATAAAGGTCGAAACGTTGGGAAAAAAGAAAAAGGAGTTTTTTTAAACGACCTCATTCTTGACCCTCCTCACAAATCGAACGAATTAACAAATACAAAGTTTATTTTCTTTAATAGTAAATATGTATTTTTTTAAACAAATAATTTGGATACAAATGTCACTGTTCGATATTTGTCTGCACCTCCAAAAGTCTTCCATGAACGGTCGAAATTCAAAATGGCATCATGCGAAAAAAAATTAATGATTATTTGAAGATCGTGAGGTGTGGTCTGGTGTGACGTAGGTTTTAGAAAAACATTTTATTTATCATGCCAACGCTTCGACCTTTATTGAGATCATCTTCAGGGCACAAAGTGTTGGTTTTCCATGTACATGTGTCGTTCTTGTGAGTGGTGTTGAGAGTGCCAGTGTTGGTCAAAACAAACACTTCGAGACCTGAAGATGATCTCAATGAAGATCGAAACGTAGCATGATAAAGAAAATGTTTTTCTACAACTTACGTCACACCAGACCGCACCTCACGATCTCCAAATAATCATTGGCTAACCCGTCATTAAAAACCACACACAAAAAAAATTAATATTTATTTAGTTTAGCTGTTTTAACTCTAAATGGCTGATTTTCCTAAGGAAGGTTTATAAATAGACAGTTGAAAAACGTACATGTACAATCTTCCCCGATATACAGGTCCGTCTAAAGCCCCTGGAAAAGGAAACTATTAACATTAGACTGTAAGAATAAACTTCACAAGCTATTCAATGCCTCTTTAAGGCCATGAGCATTAAACCTATAAGGATATCGAACAGATACGATAGAAGAAACGACGAAGCTAAGAAAATTCCTTTTATTGTCTTCTCTTTATACCTCGAGCATTGCTGGAAAACATCGAAAGCCACTTGTTAAAAACGAATTCCAAGGAGAATGGGACCTTCCAGGGTAAAAAGGTGTAAAATCTACTTGGATACGCTCTATTACAAGGGCAATTGCTCATGTTATTCTTACTCCTGAAAAAAAAAAAAATCAAATGACACCAGTGTCGCTGAATCCTGGACCTTTAACCTGACTTTACAAGGGTCATTTTGAAAACATTCTTGAGATTTCACAGTTATAGAGCGATTTCAAGCATGCAGGTTGTTACTGGTTCGGGTTGCTGTTTGCCAAGCACTCAACGCATTACTTGGTTATTTTTTTCTTATTGCCCCTAGCCATCAGGAACGACCCTTCCCCAATCGAAT